ACCGTAACGATTACAAAAGCTGACGTTTTGAGCGTTAGCGCTTCGCTCCGACGAAGCGCTAACGCTCGAAACGTCAGCTTTTGTAATCGTTACGGTGGCCAATTTAACATTTCAACTTTGTTGTTTTGGAGCGTTAGCCACTCGCTCCGACGAAGGGCAAACGCTCGAAACGTCCCCTTTTGTGATCGCTACGGTGGCCAATTTACCATTTCAACTTTGTTGATATATCCAAATTATTTAATAACAGGTGAGGATAAACGAAGTAGCCTCTGAGATATATTATCGCAACCAACAGCCTTGCAAGGGTCAAGAGTATCCAAAATTTTCCTTATGTAGCCAACCTCAACTGGGACGAGGTCAAAAACATCATCACAAGTTTTCTCAGCAATGACGTTAACACAAGGATGATCAACAACCTCAACCATTTCCTTACTGTCACCATCGCTCCTGGACACCTCGCAAAAGTAGTTGTTGAACATTTCAGCCACTATTAATGAATCGGTAATTACACTCTCATTCTCAATCAGAGATATCTTTGATTGCCTCTTTTCTTTGCTTGGCAACAAGGGTCTCAACTTATTCCAAAACTCACAAAGATATTTAGTGTTTGACGATGCCTCCATGCAGAACGCCTTGAACCCTTTTCGTTTCAGGGATGTGACCTTGTTTCTCTGTTTCTTGAATTCCTCCCAAGAGGTTGTTGTTGGGCTCTTTGCATGCTTCTTAAACAGTCGAGTACGACGCGAGATTTCGCGTTGAATGAATGGAGTTATCCATGGCAACTGATCACCTCTGACCCGTTTTTTCTTTATTGGTGCGTGTTTGTCCAACACTTCAGTGTACAATTGAGCCCAATGGTGCCATAAATCATCAACGTTGTCATAAATGTAAGCAGAACTCCAGCGAACAGTTTTTAGGTCATTTAAAAATTTGTCTATATCAATTTGTCGCATACTTCTGTATTCAATTTCTTGCGCCTTAGCCCTTGGTAATTTATTCTTTCGCACTGCATAGATAAGATCTTGATCACTGAGACCCATATGCAAATTACCAAAAGTTTCATATCGTTCTTGATGGCTAGCGAGAATGACATCGAGTAAAGACTGCTTTTTCAGTCACCCTTGTCGGTTGACTAATTTGGTTTTGCAAACAAAACCTATCACAAAGGTCCATGAGTGAGTTATCCTCAGCGTCGACACCATGTTCTCCAACAAGCAAGTCCATATTAAAATCACCAATCAATAATATTTCCTGACGGCTTGTATTCATAAGTTCAATAGCTGAAGTAAGCGACGACAAGAAATCAGTAATTTTACAGAATTTAGGTGATCTGTAGCAAGCACACACTATAAAGCGAGCCGTTTTAGAATCCATGACATCAGGACATAATGACTCGACTGATTCGGGCTCCAGATTACGTCGTCCACAGACAGGAATATCTTCCCGTACAAAAGCTATCAAGCTACCAGCTCCTTTCTTGCGATCACGTCGAATAGTGCGATGTCCCGGTTGTTGGAGAAAACTATCTGAGGTTGTACCATCGAGTTTTGTCTCCGAAATAAAGAAAATGTCAAATAAGCACTTGTTAAGAATATACTTGACCTCTTCAAGCTTATTTTGTAAAGAGTTGATGTTCATATGACCCATTTTCAGATTGGATTTGCAGTAACCATTGACGTTCCTAAAAAAACAGTCAACAAAGTGTCCTGAATGTTCCTCCGCAATCTGAAAAACCTCGCCAGTGGAGCTCGAATCGCATGCCGCCGAAGGTGATAGATCATCAAAGAAGCCGTCAGAAAACTGAGGCATCGTACAAGAAAAGCAATACCAGGTCCCTTTCCTCCGATAGCAGGACAGCTCGTTCTTACTCATTTTCGTACATTTGATGTTGAAAACTGCCGGGCAGGACGAGCAGCGGACGCCGTTTTGGTTCCTTCTCATGGTTTTAGCACAATAACTACAAAGTGTTTTAGAAGAACTATTAAAACCTCCTTGAGGCCCCTGAGGGCCGGGATTAGACTCCACGTTTCCAGATAACTTCAACAGCAATAGCTGAGTCGTAGCAGTACTGTTACTATAGTACAAAGCACGCCGTCCGAGGTTAGCCTTCTTGCTACTTCGCATGTAATTTTGACGATGCAGACATGAGCTCAAAGAACCAAAGAACTGAAGCTGGGTAGAAACATTACCCATGTCCTTAGGTCCAGCACATATATAATTGGTGGGAGATAAGTATGCGAGACCAGAACCGAATCCTCCAAGACTGAAAAGAGCGAAAAGTAGCAGCGCATACCAACAATTGTGAGTCGCCATCTTGACTCTTATGCCGCCGTTACGATATCCAGTGACTTGAAATGGAACACTCATATTTCAGACTGCATTAAGATAGAACATAAGCGCCTGTATTTCATTGTTCTCTTAAAAAAGGCCCGTGTTCCCCTTACTGACATTGTGAACTTGTAGATGTAGAAGGAATTCAGAGACGTGTGCTTTCCATAGTTTCACCTGAAATGTCATATTGGGAATGCCTTGACAGTCTAGGCCTGCCAACTTTGTATAATAGACGCATAGAACTCTGTTGTCATTTGTTCGATTCCATAGCTAACAATCTCGAATATAAGTTGTACCATCTTCTGCCATCAAGGAAAAAATCTAATTATAAGTTAAGGCGTCAAGAGATATTGCTACGTTCTCACACGGAATGTTTTGGACACTTTCTTTTATGCTATGTCCCAGGGTACGCACAGTAGCTCCTAAAGTTTCAAAGAAAGTCGACTTTAATTTTAGATATTTATACATGTTCTAGATTTATCATATTAGGCTTTTACTTGTATATGATTGTATTTAGCTCTATATTTTAACCAAAGTTATCTTTAAAATACGCAATTCAGTTTTACGACTGCAAAAGTATCATTTAATAAACGATCTGTCTATCTAATTTATAATGTTTGTGGCCCTGGAGCGTCGAGGCTGCCTGTTTACCTTAAACACTTTCAGTTCAGTATTTCGTTTACTTTCGTTGATCCACCAGACTTTGAACATCTTACTCCGTTGTTGATATATTTCCTCATATATTTCCTTTGGGCCATCGAAAGATCGCGAATTGGAGCAATTTTTATGTCGGACTAATTTGGTCACCTGCTCCTAGTTGCCTTGTTAGCTCAATTGATAGAGCGCTGCACTAATATCGCAAAGGTCAGTGGTTCGAATCCCGTGCATGCCTGAATTTTTTCAGGTCTGATTTTCACCATTGCTTAAAAGGTGCACTTTACTACGAGGATCGTGCACAAATACCTTTATATAACCGCAGTTACGATATATAAATTTAATACATTCGTTGTGTTTGATTTGTCATCTTACAGGTTTATGTCGGACTTATTTGATGACTTGCTCTCACTTGGCTTGTTAGCTCAGTTGGTAGAGCGCTGCACTAGTATCGCTGAGGTCAGTGGTTCGAATCCCGTACTGGCCTGAGTTTTTTCAGGTCTGATTTTCACTATTGCTTAAATAGTGTTCGTTACTGCGAGGATCGTGCACAAATACGTTTCTATAACCGCAGCTCTAATATATGAGTTTCATATAGTCGTTGTGTTTAAAAGACCATGCTGGACATTCTTTTGTCTCGGCGCCTGTCGGTGGAGTGAAATTATTATGTACTTTGGTTAAATTACATAGTAGGCGTAAATTTCCTTTTTGCTTAAGCGCTTGATCGCAACTAAACGCTTGCCAATTACTGCTAACTGTCTAAAAATAAAAGAATACAATATGAAAGAAGAATTCATACACACTGGAAAAGACAGATTGGTGAACTTTTAACTCCCAGGAGTGATTACTATGCAAAATCTCCCTACAATATGCATACATCATACAGCAAACAGGTAATGAAAATACTCAAACTTATCAGGTACAAATTCGAAGTTGTTATCTCAATCTAATATCAAATTATTGTATTCACTTTACAAAGAAATATGTAGCATTTAGAGGGGAGAGGTAAAAATCAGACCTTGGGAGTTAAAGGGTTTACCTTCCCCCCACCCCACCCCTGTGTGTAGCACTTAGAGGGAAGAGTTAACAATCAGACCTTGGGAGTTAAAGGGTGTACCTTCCCCCCACCCCACCCCTGTGTGTAGCACTTAGAGGGAAGAGTTAACAATCAGACCTTGGGAGTTAAAGGGTNCAAATTCTCCCTACAATATCCATACATTATCCAGCAAACAGGTAATGAGAATACTCAGACTTATCTGGTAGTTATCTTAATCTAACTTCAAATCATTGTATCCACTTTACAAAGAAATATGTAGCACTTAGAGGTGAGAGTTAACAATCAGACCTTGGGAGTTAAAGGGTTTACCTTCTCCTCACCCCACCCCTGTTTGCCCATTATCTTTCCTTAGAGTTAGTCAACTAACAGCTTATATTTGAACATTCACGCGATTTTCTCCTTGAAAAATGATAAAATGAAAAAAACAAACGAAGGAAGCATTTTTCCTTAAAACAATACATTAAAAGAAAAAGAAAGAAAGAAAGAAAGGAAAATAATAATAACAGTAATAATAATAATAGTAATAATAAAACAAACAATTGGAGACACTGCAATTCTGAAAGAGAAACAAACAGTGGGTGCGTATATACATATATGTCTAAAAGACCTTTGTTTTTTCTCAGCACTGGTCTAATGATGTATTTCGGGTAATTTGCATTGTAGGCGTTACAACTTAATTTTTTTGGTGGCCGCTTGATCGCAACTAAACGTGTGCCAATTACTGATAACTGTCAAACGACAAAATGATACAAACTGAGATCAAGAAACAAAACAAGAAACAAAAGAAGAAAAACAAAGAATAACAAAGAAAAAATAATTAGAAACTGGAAATGGAAAAATTTTTCTTGAGAGCCGTCGGTTGAAACAGTCTATCGACGTTACTAAAACGTTATGTTATTGGTCACCAGATGGGTGCAAGCGTCATGGTTCTCTCACTTGGTTGGCTGATTTAAGAGAAGGATGATGTCATAATTTTAATTTTTGATTAACAGAGATAACAATATGTTAAATGCCGACTCGCTGTGGTCTTTGAAAACATTAAAACTACAGGGAACTTTTTCTCATACAGGTTATTATTATTACCTTTCTTAAGATGGTTGTCAATATTTTATCATCACATTTATTATCATCGTCATGATCGCAATTATTACTATCATTTTCGCTTTTTCTATCGTAATAAACAGTCTTTACCACGCACGTTACTATCTATTTTCAGGGGAAATATTTAGAAATATTTAGCGTCAAAGGTAATTTCTCATTTGAAACGCCTCTAACGATTATAGCGTAAACTGGGTGCTTTCACAACTCTGTAATAACCATAAGATTCCTCTGTTACTCTCGATGTAAGTTTTCCAACGTGCTGGAGTGAATAGTATCACGGGATAAAGTGGTATGCAAATTCTAGTTCTAAAGACCAGTTTATTCAAAAGTTATTTAACACTCCAGATGGTTGCAAGCCCATAATGTTCGTGTCCTCCTATTGGCTTGATTCGAAGTGAGGTCATCAACATAAATGATAATTGTATTCTGAAATACATCCTTATGCAAAGTAAACAGCACATTCTTCCTTTTTGTTGGTTTATGTCATCACGGAAGGAATATTTATATTCAGCGACTTTCGACTTTGTTTAGCGAGAATCTATTCATTCTCAGAAAAACACCCTTGATAAAGGTATTTATTTCTTCATTTATTTATTTTGGTTCCTTCTGGAGTATTGAGAACATTATAACTCGTTTTATAATTCGGTTGTTAACCTGATGATGAGGTGCCGCGTATAATTAATCGTCGCCGATGATCATCATCTCTATTACTTCGATTCTTGGTTATTTTGTCCATAGTTTTACTCCCTTCTGTTAAATAATTATTTTAAAGCTGATTGTTATTAAGAGGCATTCTTTAGTATCATACAAGTACTGATTCTAATTCTGTCTAAGAAGTAGCTTTGACGAACATAAGATTGGTGTTGTATTAATACCATTTCTCTGTATATTAAGCATTTTCTGACCAATATTTTTTTAGAGTACTTTGCCTGTGTTTTATTTCGGATCAATGCTAGTTAAGTAAACGTTGCTTCTGTGGTTTTCTATATTTTTAGATAGAGGTGGTTGACCGTAGTTGAATTGCATTCGCACGTTCACCTGCTTCTCCTCTTGACAAAAAAGGAAACAATTAAAGCATTTTATCAAAAAAAAAAACCGTAAAAAGGGAAGAAAATCAAAACTGAGAAAAAAGGAAAAGAGGAAAAAACCCAATGTGGTCTCCCAACATCCCTTGTGATTTATTACCCTGGTGAACCAACAGGAAGTGTGGTTTATTACCTAAATAACTTATCACTACTCAGTTCACTGTTATTTTTGTTATTTAATGTTTGTAAGTATCATCATCACTATTTTCAACGAAACTATTATTACCACTTTTTTAAGGGTCACGCTTAACCAGGATGCATTGCGAGGGTAGTGGCCTTTTCTCAGTATTTTCTGTATAACAGAATGGGAAAGTCCACCGTGTGCGTAATATTATTCGACTAAATCTTTGCAATCCTGATAGCGAACCGGGTTTTAAGCCCTCAGGATCTGGTTTCCTCTGTCTATTGTCTACTTACTGCATACATTCTACGCGTTGTCTCACAGGCAGCACACGGCATTTAGGGTCTCCGTTATTTTTCACTTTTGACTCCTGCTACGTTAAGTTCTAAGGCAGCTATTTATTTGAAATACACTCCTGATGGCGCTCACTTACTCTAGATTGGTGATGCAGAGTGTTTTGTTGTCGGTTCCTCGAAGCAAACCGCTAAACTCGACGCTGCGGTGAACACTGACTGAAATTGGTATTTCAAGAGCAAGACCTACGCGTCGCGGCTGTAGATGGAACTGGCCAAAGGAAGCGAAGACTTATTAGAACTATTGAGGCAAAAGCTACTGAGGCAAGAACAATGGAGTTACGGGCTTCACAGCAAGTTAATTCCACTCAAGAGCGTTTTCTCGCTGAGGAAAGATATGGTGACTTGGAAAAATGGTGGCCATTTGCAGATTCCCTCGTGGGAATAATGAAATATTCATTTAGACGCCTCTCGCGATAGCATTGAAAACAATCCCATTGTTACTGGCCAGCCTTTGTCGTCTGCTGCTGTTAATGAGTGTACAGTTAAACCATTAACACTGTGCTCGGTGAATGTTCGGTCGGCGAAATCCAAGTCTGCTGATATATTAGACTAAATTCTTTCATCTGGTGCTGATCTTTTCGCTCTTACTGAGACTTGGCTCAATGCTAATATACTGCGGCAAAACTGGAATTTATCCTTCCTGGCACGCATAAGTTTATGCACCATAATCGACCAGGACGCAAAGGAGGCGCAACAGGTCTGCTCTTCAGAGAGAGAACGTTGGAGTTAAGAAAATTGATGCCGGAGAGAAGACCTCGTCTGAGTTATCGGAATGCAGCCTAAGTTTGAATTCATTCCGGGATAGGCTATCTATTACTTGGCACCCACCGTATTCTGCTCAGCATCCAGTGACTCTGAATACTTTTAGGAGGATTTTGCTACTTCTTTAGAATCCATCATATTAGTGCCTGAGCCGTTAATTGTGACTGGGGACTTAAACATTCCTGTAAATGATACAGATGATCCCAACGCTTGCGAGTTTCTGGACTTGCGTGTACCTTTGGGTTTAAAGCAGCATGCGAAGGGCTCCACACATGAGGGTGGCCACACCCTGGATTTGGTCATCACCAGGGAAGATGATGACATCATCAAGAGTGCGGTAGTCATTGACCGGTTCATATCTCACCATGCCTCAGCACTTTGTCCCTTGAACTCTGTAAAACCGCTAGCTGTTGTGAAGGAGATCAGTCATAGACAGGTGAAGGCTATTGACCTGGATGCATTGCCTGCAGATCTCAGGGATTCTGATCTGTGTACCACGAAATTCACAGACGTGGATGAAATGGCCAGCTGCTACAACTCCACTCTCCAGGCCACTCTTGACAAACACGCAACTCTGAAAACTAAGACTGTCGTCAACAGGAAGCGACTTCCCTTGTTTAAGAGTCAGATGAAGGCTGCCCTACGGGTTAGACGAAAGGCTGAGAGTATCTGGCGCGAATCTAAATCTGCGGATGACCTTAGCGTTTTTAAGGCGAAGAAAAACCATGCAACATTCATCATGAATCAAGCCCGTTGTGAATATTACACTACTCATATTCAACAAAGCAGCTGTAACCAGAGGAAGTTGTTCCAAACTACTAAGGCCTTGTTGTGTGATGCTAAAGATGTTTCTTTCCCTTCCGGCAACCCTGACCCTGATTATCTGCTGGACTGTAGGAGTAAAGGAAAGATGTTGGTTAAGTCAGAGAATCCACCTCGACTGGAAATTGGAAGAAAGAAAGGATATATGCGAATAATAAAAGAACTGTGGGATGACTCGGGTTTTGGAAATTTGGATTTATCAAGCGATAATTGAAGGTGTTACGAGGATCGAATTATTTAACTAAATCTGTCACGCAATCTCAGACTTTTCTAGAATTATCTTTAGTTTGTAATATTCCAGAAACTTCTTTCATGTGACTCAGCAGTTTCCAAAAATAGTACAACTTGTAATACACTATAAATAGCAATAGAACATTCTAGATACCTAAAGTAAATGTATAAAAGCTGGTTTGTGAGAGGTACAAAAAAAGATTTGCCCGAGGGCTTCCCATCGTGACCGGCTGACTGAACTTGTGGAAGCTACGATGTAACGAGGTTATGACCTTTTGACCTTGCGATGTCCAGAGAGGGGAAAGAGAAGAAGAAGACGATAGCCGAGAAAGGAAGAAGGTAAAGAATACAGAGTTCACCATGGAGTCCTCCGGAAGAGTTTGTGTAGACGGAAAGAATGTGATGAATCAAGAAAGCCAAGCGTTGTGGTCTTCACTCGGCTTTGTTAGCGGACATATCTGTGTTCATTCGTGCACGTAAAAAGGGATCAAGCGGGGCGCCTGAAAAGACTGTGGGAGATGCAAGAGTTGCCATGTCTGAAAGTGTTAGACAGAGGGTTCGGGAAGAGGAATCGATGATTAGAGATTTTAGTGCTCGTAGCTTAGAGTCAACTAATCTCGAAGTCAATCGTGAAGACGTAGATTTGCATACGGTGACTGTGAGGGCTAGCCCCATGAGACCTGCTGATATTCTTAATCAATAAACACGCGATCTATTAGACTCGTCAAATGTTATTTTCGCAGGTGTGCATACCCAACAGGGCGAGTTTGGTGAACGAGAGTTTGATACACGTATAAAGGAAAGAAAAACTACGCGTGACTTAGATAATATGAGCCGGACAATAGTTAAGCTCATGGAGCAGCATCAAGTGTCCCCAAGAGAGAATGCTTTCAGTTATTTGTGGATTGCGAAGTGTGTGCTTTTCTCTGTTGTGTTGGCTTTTCTATTGAACAAAGGCTGGAAAAAGCCGCGTAGCGGAATTTCTGGCGAAGCGCGTAAGCAACAGAGATGAAAAAGAGAATACGAAAAGCGAGCGTTAGAAGTTAGGAAAAAGATTTCAATCGCAGAGGCCGAACTGATGCGTTTAAAGGAAAACAGGGAGAAATCAAAAAAAGAAAAAAGAAATCGGGCTATTGTCGAACAGGAATGCAAGGGCTTGTCTGCGGCTAAGCTAGTTAGCTACATGGAAAAACTGAAATCTATCCTAAGACAGCTGAAGAGAGGCTCTTCTAGGAGCAAGAAACAGGAAGAAGTTCGAGTCTTTAATCAACAGTTCCAGACCGACGCTTGCAGGGTCAACGAGAACATGCGGGAAATGCTAAATAGGGACAAGGAGAATGACCCACCGCGTTACATAGCGGATGACCAGGTGAACCAAGGGGAGAGAGAAAGGTTTAATAATATCGAGGGAGCAAGTGAATTCTGGAGAACTCTATGGGAGACAGAGGGGACAGGAGACAGGAATACAGCGTTGTTTGAAGAGATCAGATCTGCGATCCATAGTAGAGTACCAGAACAGGCAGAGGAGGACTGGGACTTGGGTGAGAAGGATGCGGCAAAGGTGTTGAACAAGAAGAAGAACTGGAGCGCGCCGGGCCCAGATCATTCTGCGAACTTCTGGTGGAAACGTGCTCACTCTCCTCATAAGGGCGTGGCAGCTGCATCTCGATCGATCTCAAGGAGTGATGAAGACTACCCCCAGTGGTTCTCGGAGGAGAAAACATTGCTAATTCCCAAACCATGGGACTTTAGTGGTGACAATGAAAGGCACGATGAATACCATTTATAAATGGTATACATAGTGCCTACTTGTCCCAATTGACAAACATCTTAATCACTATGAACTGATGGAAGGTGCGCAATGGGGTGTGCGTGCTGGATGCAGTGGTACTGTTGACAACTTACACATTGACCGGATGGTCACGCTAGACTGCCATAGGAGAAAGCGTAATCTCAGTATGGGATGGCTAGATGTTAAGAAGGTATATGACTCTATAGACCACGGCTGGCTAAAGGAGATGATGCTTATACACAGGTTGCCCACCTGGTTGTGTATGGCTATCCACAATTTGTCAAGAAGCTGGAGTACCAGAATTGTGACCTCGATAAAGGGGAGTAGGCCTAACCACAAGTTGCCGATGAATCCTAAAACAGTTGCCGATAGAAGTGTCTAAAAGTTGCCAAAAAGTTGCTA